TCCGAGGACTGGGACCTGGTAAGACAGCCCCCATCTCAGGCGGAGGCTCAGCACATCCGACACTGTCAGCTGGTCAGAACCTGAAGTCACTCTCACTCTCCTCAGGGCATTAACTGGGGGCCTCTACTTCCCCAGCCCCGTCTTTCCTGCTCCACTCCTCATGGTACCCAGATGGCCCTGTGAACAGCTTTAACGCCTGAATTCCTCCAGGCAGAAGACAAATTTTTTAGACGCAAAGGAAAATTTAGCCCTGAAGTCAGCAAGCTAGAAAGAGTGATGACCCAACGCTCCATTCCCCGTGTGTCTAGCCTGACAAGCACTCCCTTCAGATGAACAAGCCCAACATTAGTAAGAATTTGATAGAACAGCTCAGTGAGCCACAAAACAGGAGGCCCAGTGGAGATGGTTGAAAAAGTCAGTGGACTCTTTATTGCTTCTGGGGTGTGGGGCTCAGGAGCTCTTGGTGGGACGGGTCCGTTTCCTCTTCACCACCACGGGCTTCTGGCTTCGCAGGATGGCACTGGCCCTTCGGATGGCCGCCTGAGGACAGGAGAGGGAACTTAGCCCCCCAACTCAGAGACACTCCCACTTACTGCTCCCTGCTGCCCAAGGGCTGGGGAAACCAGGATTCTCCAGCCTAGTTCCAGCCAAGCAGAGTCCAAGCATCCAGGCCTGCATCGGTCCCTCCTGCCTTAAAGACTCATCCATCACTCACCATGCGCAGATCGGGGCGGTACTTGTTCTTTCGGATCATGTGCCTGATGCTGCTGAGAGTGGCCCGTGCATTCTTGTTGATGGTGGTCCTTACGTAAGAAGTGGCTGGTTTTCGCTGACCTGGTACGGGGAGCCTAGGAATCAGTCCACCTGTGTGGGCCCTTCAGAGTATCTCCCAGATGGGGAACACAGAACCTCACCCAAGAACCTGCTCTCCCGTACCCAGCTGTCTTTCCACCTGTCCATTCAGCACACCCACTAGGTGTCAGTCTCCACCAACGCCCGTGGAAATCCCATTCCTCTCTTTTAAAGTCCCCTCAGTGAAGCACTGAGTTTATGCAGTTCTGACTTACGCTGCGGGCAAGCCAGGGTGCGGGCGGGGGCTCCCCTGGCCCACACTCAACCCCAGGGACACCGTGAGGCCGGGAAAGGAGACCTCTCGTCTGCAAAGGCTCACCCGATCTGCGTTTCATGACCACCACGACGCCTTTGCCGTCGGCCGCGGGCTCCACTCCCACGGTCTTGCGGTGGATCAGCCCGTTGTAGCGGAAGGAGTTGCGGGCCTTCAGGTTATTGGGTTCCTGGCGAGGTGCAGGAGATGGCGCTGAGCCCGGGGGACGCGCGAAGGCGGCCCAGCCGCGGGCCCCGGGGCGCCCCTCCCACGCGGGCCCCACTTACAGTGCTGTAGGTCTGCTTATTCCTCTTGATGAGAAAACTGGAGCAGTTCCGAACGACCATCCACTGCAGATGCGCGGACATGGCGGCGGCGGCTGCGGGGACACGTGCGAGGGGTTAGCCAAGCGGGGGAGCGAGCGAGGCCCTGGCGCCCGGGGAGAGGGGGACACCGCCGGGAAACGACGAGCAAGGGCTCCGCCGGCCGGAGGGGGCGACCGGAGGAGGCAGGCCGGCCGAACTAGGGCGGCTGCGACTGGAAGGTGTGCGGGGGAAGGGGAAAGATGGCCCTACTTCCGGTGGCGATGCGGGCTGCGGATGGCGCTGGGGCACAGGGAGGGAAACAAGGCTGAGGCCGAGGCGGCGGGCGCGACATGGCGGCCACGAGGGGCCAGGAGACGACCCGCACTCACCTCCTCTCCCGACGGCGGCCGGAGACGGAAAGAGGGGCGCGAGGGGCGGGCCGACGCCTTTAAAGTGGCAACGCATTTCCGCTTCCTCCCCGGGCGCTCCTGAAGTCGACCGCCCAGCTTCCTCCCGTCCTCGGGTTCCGCCTCCGAGTCGTCTCGACGGTCTCTTCGCGTGCCGCTCGGGAACCTTCGGAAATCTTCGGCTATCTTCGGCTAGAGATGCGGAGGCCAGTTCTCGCGGTGGAACCTTGCCGCGCCCCGGGCGCTGGGGAAGTTTTCGGAGCCCAGAGCCCGGCTCTCCGAGAGGTTCCGAACGCACAGGCACCGAGACCGTGGCTCTGGTATGTTCAGTTAGCCCTTGGCACGCGGCGGGCACTAAGTAAACATTTCAAAAAAGACTTTTGCTCTCTTGGCTGACTGACTTTGAACTCACGTCCTCCCTTAGGATTCCAGGAGTGCGTCCTTACTCCAGGCTTTAGAACTGATTTTAAGATTTTTAAAATTTTATTTTTATGTGCATTGGTGTTTTTTTGTTTTGTTTTCCCGAGACAGGGCTTCTCTGTGTAGCTTTGTGCCTTCCCTGGAACTCACTCTGTAGCCCAGGCTGGCCTCGAACTCACAGAGATCCGCCTGACTCTGCCTCCCGAGTGCTGGGATTAAAGGCGTGCGCCACCACCGCCCGGCGTGCATTGGTGTTTTACGTGTGTGTGTGTGTGTGTGTGTGTGTGTGTGTGTGTGTGTGTCCGATCCCCTGAAACTGGAGTTACAAACAGTTATGAGCTGCCATGTGGATGCTGGAAATTGAACCTGGGTCCTTTGCAAGAACAGCAAGTGCTCTTAACTGTCACGACTTGATCTTTCAAAGGGCGCGTGGACTGTTTTAAGCATTGATGTGGCATGGAGTCTTCACAATCACTGAACTCTCTCCCACGAGAGCACCAGGGCCCAGTGGACCATGTTCAAACCTCTCCAGGAATACGCTGGTGGGGCTGCCACCTTTACTTTATTGTCTTGTGCCTGGTTCAGTCTGCAGAAACACTCTGTGTCTGTCCTCAGCACATCTGGCCAATTCCGGCTGCCCACTGGCAATTTGCTCCACAACCTTTCTTAATGTTTTGTTAGCATTTATTAATTATGCATTGTATGGGTTTAAATGACATTTTCATATGTGTATATGTGTGTATATACTGCATTTTGATCATATCCACACACTGCAGTTAATCTGTATTGTGTGTGTCCCAGTGAGTTTCCTTGGTGTTGATTACAGGCTCATGGATGGGAGTTTGTTTACAGGAGCAAGTGCATTTTACCAGTGACTACATCACTAAAGAAAATGTAACTTCCTCCTCCATCATCCTGAGCCTTCTTCAACTCTGATGGGCTTGGGAGAACCCAGACAGAACTGCTTGGAAGTTTCCCACTCCGGGGAGCAGATGTGTGGAAGATGTTGGTTCTGTTTAGTGTTCCACATAGGTCGGCCCAGATGTTTGCCCGGGCCATGCTGCCTTCCAGATGAGTGCCCTGGCCATATCTGTTAAGTTCTCTTGAAGTCAAAGCCATCTTCATAGACCAGCTCCCACAGCAGGGAAGGACTTTTTCTAGAAGAATCTATCAATAAGAAAGCCACAGTTTCGCCGGGGGGTGGGTGGGGGAGGTGTGGGGGGGGGTGAAGCCAGAGGCAGGCAGATCTCTGAGTTCAAGGCCAGCATGGTCTACAGAGCGAGTTCCAGGACAGCCAGGGATTTTGTCAGGGTCACATCTGAGTAGCACAGCCCTGATCTGGGTGTACTGTGGGTCCGATAGTGTAGTCAGCACCTGAGAGATGGGTTCATTTTCCCACCCTGGGTTTCACAAGGCCTGTGCTGCGCACAGGAGATCCCAAAAAAGCAAGAGCGTTTCAGGGCTTTGGCCGCTGCTTTTGTGCCCGAGAGAATGTTTTTGTGCTGTGCAAAGCATGGAACCATGCTAGGCAAGTGCATGCCTAGCAAGCACAAGGGTGTCCCGCGTGCACTGTCTACCAAGTGAGCTACATCCCCAGCCTGCCCAGCGATTGGTTCTGGTCCCCATTTGGGTTCATCATGGGCCTGATGGCACAGGAGGCCTCAGGAGGCGGGCACTAAATAGATACAACATGTTGCTAACTTACACCACCACCAAGTTCGACCCTAATCACCTGGCGCTCCTGAACGGGCAGGATCGTGCGCCGCTGCCCCCTCCCTGACCTCTGAGCCACACAGGGCTTCACCCGGACCACCAAGTCCAGGCTGTGAGCCCCAGTCCCGCTCAGGTGACCACACAGGCGCTGGGCACACCTGGCGCAGGGCCCTGACCCCGCCCCGGGCAGCCGCACCCCGGGACGCTCTCGGG